ACTTCTGTTAGTGCACACATACACCTTCTGATTTGTATTATGGCTATCACTACCAGTGCAATAATACAATGAATCGACTCCTTCCATTTCGAGCTTTGTGGGTGGATCCACTGGCAGATGTCCACCTGTTCGTCGAGCTTAACAAGTAATTGACTTCAAAAGTTCTAGTCATCATCCAAGAAGACAAATAAGAAACTTAAACTTCTGCTCGCCGGACAGATTTTAGGTTGTGCAAGCGTATCAACAATGGGGGGGGATGGCCTAAGTGGTTAGAGCGCGGATCTACTGACCGAAAGGTCCGTGGTCCGAACCCGACCTCTGACTCTCGACTTCCCCTGTCTAGGCTTCGGCAACCTGGCAGTATACCAGCCCTCGTGCAGCCTTCGTGTGGCATGGCAGCTAGGCACCGGAAGGGTGCTACAGTTGAACGCTGTCAACAATAATGAACCTTCGTGATTAGCGAATGGAACAGCTGCTTTACGGTTACAAAAGTATGACAGAGGTTCGAACCAGTAAGTAGTCAGTCAACATGAGACAAGTTCCGACGTCCTGCTCGCTTAAACTACCACGATATGGAGGGGAGGTGAACAAGGAGGAAGTTAGGTGTTTAAATGCATTCACACATTTTCGCGGGGATTCGTATCTCAAACCAAGATTTCATATGAGATGTTGACAGAAGCTTGTTCGAAAACCACCTGGACATTTTGACTACGCTGGTCGCCTGTTAGCTATCACCAGGATGCCTTCCCGCGATTAGAGCTGTATTTCTTTTGAAAACGTTTTGTGACTAGTTCCAACTAGGATTTGAGGCAGCTCAGATGTTAGGCTCCGAACTTATTGACCGGGAGGTCCGTCCTTCCCATCTAGACTTCGGAAACCTGACAGTATCTCGGCTCTCATTCCTTCGGCAGCCAGGCGCTGAAAGTTTCCACAAGATCGTTGAAACCAGGTCTGTCAGTGCCTCGTTACATGTTCAGGCGTGAAAATCCAAGAGCGACGCGTTTGAGCGTCAATGTCCAGAGTTCACAACCACGAGAAGCCGATAAGAGTTTTACTATCAAAACCCGAGTCCAGTTCCCCTTTCTTCTGACACAGACAAGGAAGTTTCGGAAGAAATGGAAGTATGTAGAATTTTATAATCAAAATTTAACCATATAAAAGTCAAACCGAAAAGCGTTTAGCTTGATATTTCATGTCAAACCCCACCGTAATAGTATACAACCTCATGTTCACGTATTTTCACAGAGCATCTTTGCTTGAGATACAAAAAAATTAGCTTCCGTGACCATCAAAGATGGTACTACGAATCCAGACACATGCTTATTCAAACACTCACCGCCTTTAGAATATCTCGCAAAATTGTGGAACGTGGAGACACGATGGATTTCACTTTGAAAAAGCTATCGACAAGCTCCAGTTCCTGATCAGCCAACTCGCCATCTTGAACTGTGGCGTTTTGTGCGTCAGCCAAGGTGGACATCATCGACAGTACGATTGAACTGGAAGAGGCTACATCCTTCATGAAATCTTGGAGCATGCGGTCCAGGTGTGGAATGCACGGGTGTCTGTCCGAATCGTTCTTCGGCAACATGTATTTCAGCTTCCGGAACCTGTTCAGTGAATTTCGATTCAGATACTGGAACATTCGTGTAGCATTGCTCGCGTCTGCTCTTGCTTTCATCAAGGCTTTTGACAGTGTTTGTAAAATTTCGAATGCAGTTCGATTGTAGGCATGGAGGAAGGTTCTTCTTTGGACCAACTCGGCAAGGCGTATCTGGTTCGGTGAAAGAAAAAACATCACAAATCACCTTCAGTATGGCAAGAGACACACCTGGAAACCAGCTGAATCTATCTCTCAGCTGGGTTCCAGGTGAGTCGCCCGCAAAACCAAATTGATTTGCAAATGAGTGTATCTCGCCAAATTATATTAGAGATTAAAATGAAACAAAACCAATCGGTAAATGAAATTTCACATGGGTTAATTATTTTATCGTGTGTGTACGGCAGTGACAGGTGCGCACCGGCTCGGTCGATATCGATCCAGAAGTGCACAACCCAGTGTTTTCTGATGGGTAGTACTGGGGTATATATATTTATATATACTGTTATATCTGCTGATTCGCCGACCTGTAGTATCTGCTGCTAATACGCTTCAGTGTTCAGTGCCGGAGAAAAAAGACTCACAGAAAGAAACACAACAGCTATATTCCGAACAAGCGAGTGTGAGAGCAAAAGTTACAACAGCCCCACGCTACTTGAAGGGGACTTTCTGACATTGATCCAGGCTGCCTGATAGACGTTAGTGAACACCCGTCAACATCGATCGTGCCTCTATGAAATGCCTGAACGCTGATCACATTCGGTTGTGGTTCTGTGACGTGCATGAACACTCATCAAGTTTTGCTGAATTGTTTGAATGATTGACTGGCCTGGATGCTTATCGGATTTCCTGTTGAGTTCTTGGTACAGCAGTAGGTTCCGGGCGTTCTGAGGTTAATTTCATGAATCTGACCTTCCTGATATATACATATATATAGCACCGTAAAAAAATAAACAAGCTGTACTGCCATCAAGTTATCCTCATTTCTCTTTAGAATATTTTGAACAGATTAGTCCTGACCGTTGCAAACCTAAACGTGTCCTGAAGTATTCCTTGGGGAATTACAAGGAAGGAGGCTGTACAGCTCGTACCGGGTGGGCTGAATTTTCACTGAAATGGGAAACTGCTTTGATCTACTCTGAAAATCATCAAACTCACACTGGAATCATTTCTTGCGAAAGCAGACGGGTGTTTTGCCGCCATCAACTGGATATGAGGTGGCCATTTTTCGGACTGTGTCACGGATCGAATAACATATTTTGGGCAACCTGTGGGCAAGAGCAATGAAAAACGCGGCTTTAGAATGAGTTCAGGATTGTGGAAATTTACGTGGATAACCTAACATTGTCTACTTCAGATCAGATCGCAAGCACTAAAATGGGATGGATGAATTTCAACACGGAGGTGCACACTAGAACCCAAGCGAAGCGGTTACCTAACATGATATGAATACTGATCATTAGAAACGGACTCAGAGCACAAATTGAACGAATTTGCTTATCGCTTATGAAGAACTGTTCTAGAAAAGTCAATAAGCAAATGAATGAACAACTAAGTGAGTCTTTCAACCATAGCATCATTTTGGTGCCCAGCTACCGCGACAAACTACGGAGGTGCGAGGGCCAAAATATTGCCAAGTCGCCCAAACCCAGAACCCGGGGTTGGGTTCGAACCACGGACCTTCCGGTCAGTAGTTTCGGGACTCATCAACTGACCTCGATCGAGCTCATAGCCAAACGGAAAAGTTGAAGCAAATATTCGGAATAAGTTATCAGCTAGAAGTCAATTCATGCCATCTCTTTTGTGCTGATATCAGCCGTTCAAGAAATTTCTGAACACTACTCACCAAATTCCTCACTATGGCCGTACACACCTGTGGCTTGAGTAACCGACGAACGGCATCTATTTTCATTTTCTTTCTGTATTTATGGGGCAAATATGAACATTATAAGTAGACGAACAAGATATAACAAAAAACTAAATCACTTGTGTTATCAACGTCTTAATCGATCCAAGGAAGTAATATATATGGACTTTGAATGAACAGTCTGCAGTCTGATTCATAAAATATATATTTCTCGGGGACGTACTAACCGGAATCGTTTTGTCAGGGTCTCCGATGCTGAACTTTGAGTTGCGTGTAGGTTTGACTATCCTTAATGTCAAAAGGAAGAGTTCGGTTCGAAAGTTTACGGTACTATTTACACAAAAGTTGACAAAACTTTACTGCAAGCCTTAGTTCGTGGCGTCAGCACGAGCGCGAGTCAGCTACTGACGGCCACGATGCTGTGTCAACGTCCGTACACCACACAGGACGAAGCAACTCCGCGTTTGTTCTTAGGCCAGTCCCGCGATTCTGATTGCGACCACACGGAATTCACGATCGATCAAAGCAGGGCGGCTTCAGCGGACGTTGCACGAACACGCATGGCTAAGTGGGTCGGTCAGGTGCGCACATCCACGTACCAGTGCCGGACGCAGAGGCCTTTGCGCCAAGGAGGATGGCGGTCACAAGTTAACAAAACAGGTGGAGATCAAAAGTACATGGACAGAATAGGCAAATGAATGGAGGATTTATCATGATTCCAAGTTAGGTAAGTACATAAGTGAACGAGCTTTTTGTTCAAAATAAATTGAACTTTTCAGGAAAAGTGGACGTACTGCCTTCGCACATTTGGCTTCCGTTTCTTCATTGCTCGATCACATTCGGTTTCACAACTTGTCCGAATCGATTATTTGAAACCAACTGCAAGGTTTCAGGTCATGTGACACTGGTCTGTTGTCTAACCCTGCGCTAGCCAACTGGGGTTGCGCAGTGTTTGCTCTCCGTGAAATGTGATCAGACATATGACCTTAGCGTCTTTCTGATTTCACCCCACAGGGCTCTTGACCCAGTAAATTGGATCTCACCTCGTCTGAAATATCTGAGTGCATTTTCTACTTTTTTCCACAAATTAGATAGCGGACAAACGGATGGAAATCGCGTTTGGAGAATGGATTGAACGCTGAATTCAAAACGAGATATGCCAAAATGTTTCGCCTCGAATTTCCTAGCCCCGTCTGCCTTGAAGGACCGTTATAGACCTCAAAGACGTCTAAGATTGTATTCAGTGAGACTCGGGATGAGTTCTTAAAGTGCGTCGATTTCCGACTCATTCCTAAGTAATCGCCCTTGGGTCAAGAGGGGGGTTTCTCGAACAGGGGTACTACTTGAATCAAAAGGCATTTACCAGATTGCAAACAGAAAGGGCACTGTGCTCGGGAAACTCATTGCAAGAGATGAACGCTCATTTAACGGTACCACCCCACCGACGCACCAGCACCACTGGGAGAACATTGCTCACATTTAATTAACGTGTACGGACGTCCTCAATTTCGTGTGATACGACTCATGCAACTGTGTGTGTGTGTGTGCAAAGTTTGACTGTCCTTGGAGAAGGACGACACATTTGTTTTCAATCTCCAGAATGACAGTATCTAATCCAGGTTGTTTTGACTGGCAGTCAGAAGCCTTTCACACGGCAATTGGAGAACCAACCCAGTTAAATGACTAATTGTAGCATAAGCAACCTATGGAATATCAACAGATTCCCAGATTTCTGTGAATTTGGAAAGCTTTGGTCTTCAGTCAGATTCGACTCAGTGTGATTCGTCCTTCCACGTATTGTTTACACAGGAATGGACGCAATGCTTCCGAAATTTCGTGGTTATTTTCCCCCAAAAAGCCTAGCAACAAGCGACCGGTTTTTACATACATCTGACCTAAATCCGACCTGCACACGTCAAGGAGATGAGAAATTCTCCGTTGGATCAAGGGTGGCCAAACGGTTTGCGCCGTGAAATTGCTGAATACACTCTAACAAGAATGGACGGACAGGCGGCGAACGTTCTTCGGCATGCCAACCAGAATGGGTCTGGATTGGAGTCGGTCTTTGAGTTGTTCCCACGTGCTTGTCTCTAATTTTGCACTCACGGGCGCTTTGCTAGATGCTGGCTAATTTATCCAAGAGAATAAACAGTGTGATCCACTGCTGCGGTGTTTTTCGATTGAAAAGGTCATATTCCCCGTCCGTACGACCGGCCCGTGGTATTTTGTGCTCTCATCTGGTATGTGTCCAGCCACACTTTTCAGGACCTAACTCCGGTCACGCCAATACATTATGCCGCAGATTAATTGAATTTAAACATGGCTTGAAAAGAACTTTAGCACGTGACTGCCATTGTACCATCGGATAGATGCCAGAATCGGCTTCTGTCCAGCATCGCATTCAGGGTAAGCTGCCTTTATGTTAGAAGGATTCTTTCTGCATATAATTGCGGTACCTTGACGTCCGTTGACTAAGTCGCTCAATAAGTTTTTGAAGTGCATTCTTGTACGGAGGCCAGCCGTCCCTAATAACCGAACACCACATCATTTGGACGGATGTCACGTGCAGGACACGGGCCAATCGAAGCCATGCCCTCATTGGTCAAAATACCAGCCAATCCGAGTCAAGCACCTTTGACTCGACGCTTCTCGCCCCCTCACGGAGATTCTAGCACGACCTTGTGGAACACTCTGGGCCTACCCTATAAATACAGTTGTAATAATTTTCCTTTGTCTCCATAAAGGGCTGTCCGAAGCTACCGTGCCTTTTGATGTACCCTAGTGGGCGGGAGCAGGAACCAAGGGACCGATACAGAGTTGCACTACAATGTTATTCCCAATAACTTGTAGTTGAAAGTAGATAACTTTCAACAAGCGAAATTCCTTCCAGTTCCCTGTGCTATCCGACTGCCCTGAGGCTGATGGATATTGGATATTGTCTGGCCCACATGGGCCTCCGAAACGCATTGTGCTGTATGTCCCGGCCCTCGGGCTTGACAGAATTTCCAGGGGAGCTGAATCGTCATTTTGTGCCCAGCTGTGGAGACTAGATCTTCACAGTTGGGGAAAGGCATTCTGCCTAACAGTATCTCGTAGAACCCCAATCCACTATCTTCGAAGAACTGCCATAGCTCAACAGTATCAATCTGAGCTAGCCCAACAACTCCCAACAGTAAAACAATACTGTGGTGGCAGTGAGCATGTGGATGAAGCGTGGCAAATTGTGAAAGGAGCTATGCTAGCGGCGTTCAGTGCTGCCTGCCCGACTTCTCCAATTCGACCACAGAACCACTGGATGTAGTCGAGGTCGTTATCCATGATTGATGCCAGGAAAGCCATACCAGCAGGCAATGAGTACGACGGCGCACGCAAATATCTCAAACACCAAATAGTTAAGAGTCTAAGGAAAGACCGAGAGCTCTGGTGGACATCGAAAGCTCGGGAG